CGACAACATCCCCGCAACTGCAAGCGCTGCACCTGACCGTAATTGCATGTCCCCCAACATACTTGCAACTGGACCTTTGTTTTGTTGGAGGGGCAGCGGGAGAGGGGGCGGGTCAGTTGCATGTCTGACACTAGGAATGTAATTGTAAGTGTCGCACCGACCGCAACTGCATATCCTGTAACCGGACCGCAACTGGAGTATTTTGTTTTGTCGTTCTGTCGGAAGGGGCGGCTGGAGAGGGGGCGGGCCAGTTGCATGTCTGACACTAGGAATGTAACTGCAAGGGTCGCACGACCGCAACTGCATATCATGTAACCCGACTGCAACTGGAGTTTTTGGTTTTGTCGGAGGGGGCGGGCCAGTTGCAAGCCCGACAACAGCCCCACAACTGCAAGTGCCACACCCGACCACAATTACATGTCCCCCAACATGGTTGCAACTGGACCTTTGTTTTGTCGGAGGGGGTGTCGGGAGAGGAAGCGGGCCAGTTGCATGTCCGACACTAGGCATGCAACTGCAAGCGTCGCACCTGACCACAACTGCATTTTTTCAACACGACCACAACTTAGTGTTGTTCTGCCAGTTTTTTATGAAAAATTTATTGCACGCCATATCTCAACTGTAACTGCAAGGGATACAAGTACCAGCAACTAGCCGCTCCATACACCTTCATTATTTTTTGAAATGCACATTGAACATTTTTAAAATGCATTTTTATATTTTAAAGTAATATGGTGAATATTTTTAAATCTATTTGAACATTTTTTAATTACACAATAATTTTATCAACGCATAATGGATAATTTTTAAATGTACAAACACTTTTTTCTGAAGTATAACGACGAATGCAAAAAAGTGCTTCCTTTTTTTTAGTGAACATGTAACTGAAAATGAAATATAAATAAAAATTGAACAAACAGTGGGAAAAATTAAATCAGAATATCCAGGAAATGGAACAAAAAGCTAGACAACACGCAAAAAAAGAGAACAAAAACTAGACACAGGAAAATCATACAAAGAACTAGCGTCACACTAGACACAGGAAAGCTAGACAACAAGAAGCGCCCAGAAAAATCACGTGGCATTAAAAGAACGCTGGTCCAAAAGAACGAACAATAATAAAAGACAAAGACAATGGGCCGGCCCAGCAAAAACAGGAAATGAAATTAAGACTGGACAAGGGAATAAGATGGGCTGGACTATAAATTGGATGACGTCACCCGGCTGAGACTTTGCCAAGTCTCAGTCGACTGATGCTTAGACAGACCCAACAGTTAATGTATAAGCGACGCTGAGTTGCAACCACAAGGAAGAAGTACGTCATACCACAGATCGTGACAGTGGGAGTGTACTCTTGTTACGATCGGACGCCCGGTCCCTGATAAGGACCTTTTTCATTTTTGTTAAGTTTAGTATAGAGCCATTAAATTATGAAAATATGGGAGGATATGCGATTGAGTCATTCTGTTTTACCATGTTAGCATCCGGTTGCTTCAAGCTTTGTACTCGTTGTTTTTCCTTTTATATATAGTTTTGTTGATGCATGGCATTTGAAACTTAATAAAATGGCCATGTGCATTTCTGATTAGGGATGCAGAGCAGCATCCGATCCGCCCCGCTTCCAAGTTAAAATGCGTGAGCTTAGTTATAATTCCTCTGTACAAATTTAGCTTAGTTTGAACTAACCTCGTGTTTATGCGGGCTTATGCGGGATGCCCGCCTGCATCCCTATCTCTGATGCAAAAGCGAAGAAAACCTAACATTTTTGGAAAATCTAAGTTTTTATCGGGTTTGTGAATAGCCTACATGTGGTCTGTCTGTATATATTTTCGTCTGATTTTCAATTAATTAATTGGGCATTTGTCCTCTTCTTAATTAATCACCTAGGCAAATCTTCTGCCTTCGGTTTTGAGAAAGAAAATTATACGTGTGCAAACCTGTGATCTCGCCTCCTGGCAAGACCAGGGAATAGCCAGTAGCTAGCCACATGCGTGCGTCAGGGCCTTGTCGAAGATCAAGAGTTGTTGATTTGCATCTATTTCCGATCCGGAGACCCAACCAACTCGCGCTCCATGCGAGGTTAATTAAGTAGTATAGCCGTGGAACGCGAGGTTAATTAATTATAGCTTCTCAGTACACGAGTAGTAGTAGTAGCTCTATTTAAGCTCCCGCATGCAAATGCAACACATAACATCAGAGTGGTAGAGGAGAGCAATGGCCGGTCAGGCGCCACCATCGAGGTTCCCACGGACGCCGAGCTGCTGCAGGCACAGGCTGACCTGTGGCGCCACAGCCTCTACTACCTCACGTCCATGGGGCTCCGCTGCGCCATCAAGCTCGGCATCCCGACCGCCATCCACCGCCTCGGCGGGGTCACCTCGCTGCCGGACCTGGTGGCCGCGCTGTCACTCCCCGCGAGTAAGCAACCCTTCCTCGGCCGCCTGATGCGTGTGCTGGTCACGTCGGGCGTCTTTGCAGCCGGCGGCGACTCCGACTCCGAGGCGGAGGTGGAGGAGCTGTTCCGCCTCAACCCGCTGTCGCGCATCCTGGTGGACGGCGTGGTGGCGGACGAGCACCACAGCCAGACGTCCTTCGTGCTCGCCGCGACGTCGCCCTTCTACACGGAGGCCGCGCTGGGGCTGGCCGATTGGTTCAGGAAGGACATCACGGGGCCGGTGCCGTCGCCGTTCGAGGACGTGCATGGCGCGTCGCTCTTCGACGAGAGCACGGCGCTCCTGGACCAGGAGCTCGACGAGCTGGTCACCGAAGGTTTGGCCGCCCATGACAACCTCGGGATTGGCACGATCATGCGAGAGTGCCATGACCTCTTCAAGGGACTCGAGTCCCTTACAGATTGCTGCGGTGGCGATGGGACGACGGCGAGGGCCATCACCAAGGCCCATCCGCATGTCAAGTGCATCGTGCTGGACCTTCCCAAGGTGATCGACAAAGCTCCTTCTGACGGGATTGTCAACTATGTTGCTGGTGACTTGTTCCACTCCGTCCCAAAGTCTCAGGCGGTGATGCTCAAGGTATTTAACCACGGTAGATAATTGCCAAACAGTAAATCTGTTGACTTGCAAAAATAGAAAAGATAATTCATTGATGCTAACGATGGCTATGCATGCACATATTTTGCAGCTTGTCCTGCACCACTGGAGTGATGAGGACTGTGTGAAGATCTTGTCCCAGTGTAGGGATGCCATTCCTTCACATGAGGAGGGAGAAAAGGTGATCATTATAGATATTGTGGTTGGGCCTTCATTAGGACCAGTAATGTTTGAGGCCCAGCTTTTGATGGACATGCTCATGCTTGTGAACACAAGAGGCCGTCAACGTACTGAGAATGACTGGCGTGAGCTCTTCATGAAGGCAGGGTTCAGTGACTATAAAATTGTCAAGAAACTGGGAGCACGAGGTGTCTTTGAGGTCTATAAGTGAAAGGTTTCGCAAGAAAAGGAAAGTCTATTCATGAAGGGAATGCTCTCAAGTACCCTAGCAGTGTGGTTTTTCTATATATGCTCCGATGAAGGAAATAAAAAGAGTGCCTTATACATTCTCTTAAGGAAATTGTAATGTAGGTGTATCATTTTAAACATGGTTATCATGTCACCTTTGTATGTTTTCGTCCATAAGTATTAATACAATCAGTGTGTCATATTTGTGTATGCATCATGATCGTACGCATCACGACCTAGTTTGGTGTATGTTGCAGTGCATATTGTTGTAGATGTTGTGTCTACAACAATATCATATCTTATATATACTAACTGAGTTTATTTGGAGCAACCATGTTAATTCTAGAAGAAATATCTCTAGCAAATTGGGGGTTGTGTCACAGAAAAAAAAATCTTTTGTGGGCTAGGTAATCCAAATTTGAGGGAATCATGTCTCTGCTAGCCTCTTGGACCAAGAAATGTTTTGTTAGTGGTGGAAAAAATTGGTTATCCCTTGTGGATTATAAATATCACACTGCTAAATGATGACCCATAAGTATAGGGATCTATCATAGTCATTTTGATAAGTAAGAATGTCAAACCCAACAAGGAGCAGAAGAAAATGACAAGAGGTTTTCAACAAGGTATTTTCTGCAGGCACTGAAATTGTCGGCAACAGGTAGTTTGATAGCAAAATAATTTGTAACGAGCAAGTAATAGTAACGGTAACAAAAGTGCAGCAAGGTAGCCCAGTCCTTTTTGTAGCAAAGGACATGCCGAAACGGTCTCTTATAATAAGCAAAGCGTTCTTGAGGACAAGGGAATTTCATCTAGTCACTTTCATCATGTTTGTTTGACTCGCGTTCGCTACTTTGATAATTGGATATGTGAGTGGACCGGGGCTTGGATGATGTTCTTACTTGAACAAACCTGCCACTTATGATTAACCCCTCACACAAGCATCCGCAACTACAAAAGAAGAATTAAGATAAAATCTAACCATAGCATTAAACATATGGATCCAAATCAGCCCCTTACGGAATAACGCATAAAGTAGGGTTTAAGCTTCTATCATTCTAGCAACCCATCATCTAATAACTACTCCACAATGCTTCCCTTAGGCCCAAAGATTGTAAAGTGTCATGTAGTCGACATTCACATAACACCACTAAGGGAATCAACAACATACATATCATGAAAATATCGCACGAATACCAAATTCACATGATTACTTATGGCAATACTTCTCTCATGTCCTCAAGAACAAAAGTAACTACTCACAAAACATATTCATGCTCAAGATCAGAGGGGTATTGAATAGCATAATAGATCTGAACATATGATCTTCCACTAAATAAACCAACTAGCATCAACTACTAGATGTAATCAACACTACTAGCAACCCACATGTACTAATATGAGGTTTTGATACAAAGATTGAATACAAGAGATGAACTAGAATTTGAGATGAGATGGTGTTGTTGAAGATGTTGATGAAGATTGACCCTCCCATGATGAGAGGATTGTCGGTGATGACGATGGCTTCGATTTACTCCACACGGAGGGAAGTATCCCCGGCGTGACCTCTCTGCCACAGAGCAACAATGCTCCTGCCCAAGTCTCGAGACGATGGCGCTTGATACGTCCATTTTGCATCATGCTTTTATATTGATATTTGTTGCATTATGGGCTGATATGGTACAATACTTATGCCTTTTCTCTCTTATTTTACAAGGTTTACACAAAGAGGGAGAATGCTGGCAGCTAGAATTTTGGACCGGAAGGAGCTAATCTGAGAGACCTATTCTGCACAACTCCAAAAGTTCTGAAAATTTACGGAGAATTATTTTGGAATATATAAGAAATACTGGGCAAAGAAAATACCAAAGGGGACCCACTACGAGGCCACAAGCCTGGGGGCGCGCCCTACCCACCTAGGCGCGCCCCTGTGGCTTGTGGGCCCCCTGTCAGGTCTCTGGTGCCCATCTTTTGCTATATGTGTGTTTTGACCTAGAAAAAAATCATAAGAGGGCTTTCGGGATGAAGCGCTGCCGTCTCGAGGTGGAACTTGGGCAGAACCAATCTAGGGCTCTGGTGGAGCTGTTATGTCGGGGAAACTTTCCTATAGGAGGGGGAAATCGAAGCCATCATCATCACCAATGATCCTCTCATCGAGAGGGGGTCAATCTCTATCAACATCTTCACCAGCACCATCTCCTCTCAAACCCTAGTTCATCTCTTGTATCCGATCTTTGCCTCAAAACCTCAGATTGGTACATGTGGGTTGCTAATAGTGTTGATTACTCCTTGTAGTTGACGCGAGTTGGTTTATTCGGTGGAAGATCATATGTTCAGATCCTTCATGCTATTTAATACCCCTCTGATTATGAACATGAATATGCTTTGTTCCTGAGGACATGTGAGAAGTCTTGTTATAAGTATCATGTGAATTTGGTATTAATTCGATATTTTGATGAGATGTGTGTTGTCTTTCCTCTAATGGTGTTATGTGAATGTCGACTACATGACACTTCATCTTGATTTGGTCCTAGGGGAAGGCATTGGGAAGTAATAAGTAGATGATGGGTTGCTAGAGTGACAGAAGCTTAAACCCTAGTTTATGCATTGCTTCATAAGGGGTTGATTTGGATCCACATGTTTCATGCTATGGTTAGATTTATCTTAATTCCTTTTCGTAGTTGCATATGCTTGCGAGAGGGGTCAATCATAAGTGGGAGGCTTGTCCTAGTACGGACATCACCCAAGCACCGGTCCACCCACATATCAATTTATCAAAGTAATGAACTCGAATCATATGAGCATGATGAAAACCAACTTGACAGTAATTCCCATGTGTCCTCGGGAGCGGTTTGCTTTATATAAGAGTTTGTCCAGGCATGTCCTTTGCTACAAAAAGGATTGGTCCACCTTGTTGCACCTTAGTTAAACTTGTTACTTGTTACCCATTATGAATTATCTTATCACAAAACTATCTATTACCCATAATTTCAGTGCTTGCAAAGAATACCTTGTTGAAAACCGTCTGTCATTTCCTTCTGCTCCTCGTTGGGTTCGACACTTTTACTTATCGAAAGGACTAGATAGATCCCCTATACTTGTGGGTCATCAAGACTCTTTTCTGGCGCCATTGCCGGGGAGTGAAGCACCTTTGGTGAGTGGAATTTGGTAAGGAAACATTTATATAGTGGGTTTAAATTTACTGTCACTTGTTACAATGGAAAATAATCCTTTGAGGGGCTTGTTTGGGGTATCTTCACCCCGTCCGGAAGAGCAAAGAGTTGCTCCTCAACCTACTGCACCTACTGAAAATATTTATTATGAAATTCCTTTGGGTATGATAGAGAAACTGCTAGCTAATCCTTATGCAGGAAATGGAACACTACATCCTGATATGCATCTAATCTATGTAGATGAAGTTTGTGGATTATTTAAGCTTGCAGGTTTGCTCGAGGATGTTGTCAAGAAGAAGGTATTCCCTTTATCTTTGAAGGGAACAGCATTGACTTGGTATAGGCTATGTGATGATATTGGATCTTGGAACTACAACTGATTGAAATTGGAATTTCATCAAAAGTTTTATCCTATGCATCTAGTTCATCGTGACTGGAATTATATATATGATTTTTGGCCTCGTGGAGGAGAAACTATCGCTCAAGATTGGGGAGGCTTAAGTCATTGTTATATTCATGCCCCAATCATGAGCTCTCAAGAGAAATTATAATTCAGATTTTTTATGCTCGGCTTTCTCGTAATGATCAATCCATGCTTGATACTTCTTGTACTGGTTCTTTTATGAAAAATACTATTGAATTAAAATGGGATTTATTGGAAAGAATTAAATGCAACTCTGAAGATTGGGAACTCGACGAAGGTAATGAGTTAGGTATAAACCTTAAGTTTGATTGTGTTAAATCTTTTATGGATACCGATGCTTTTCGTGAATTTAGCACTAATATGGACTTAACTATGAGATAGTAGCGTCTTTCTGTGAATCATTTGCTACTCATGTTGATTTCCCTAAGGAGAAGTGGTTTAAATATCATCCTCCCATTGAAGTCAGAGTAGTAGAACCTATTAAAATTGAAAAAGAAACTGTTACTTATAATGTGGATCATATTATTCCTACTGCTTACATTGAGAAACCACCTTTTCCTGTTAGGATAAAGGATCATGCTAAAGCTTCAGCTGTGGTTTGTGAGAGCTATACTAGAACACCTACGCCCCCTGCACAAATTAAAAGTTGAACCTAGTATTGCTATGGTTAAAGATATCTTTTTTGATAATATTGATGGGCATGTTATTTATTTCTGTGATGAAGCTGCTAGAATTGCTAGACCTGATACTAAAGATAAACATAAACGTATTGTTGGCATGCCTATTGTTGCTATTAAAATAGGAGATCATTGTTATCATGGCTTATGTGATGTGGGTGCTAGTGTGAGTGCAATTCCTTTTACTTTATATCAATAAATTATGAATGATATTGCACCTGCTGAGATAGAAGATATTGATGTTACTATTAAGCTTGCCAATAGAGATACTATATCGCCAATTGGGATTGTTAGAGATGTTGAAGTCTTGTGTGGGAAAATAAAATACCCTACTTATTTTCTTGTTGTTGGTTCCCCACAAGATGATTTTTGTCCCATTATATTTGGCAGACCTTTCTTGAACACTTTTAATGCCAAAATAGATTTTGAAAAGGAGACTCTTACTATAAGTTTTGGGGATGTGTCTCATGATTTTAATTTCTCTAAATTTCATAGACAACCCCATGATAAAGAATTGCCTAGTAAAGATGAAATTGTTGGTCTTACTTCTAATGTTGTGCCTCCTACTGATCCCTTAGAACAATATTTGTTAGACCATGAAAATGATATGTCCATGAATGAATGAAGAGAACTAGATGAACTTTTCTTCAAACAGATGCCTGTTCTGAAACACAATTTGCCTGTTCAGACTCTTGGAGATCCTCCTCCACCG